GTGGGGGGTGGGGGGTGGTGTTGGGTCGGCGGGGGGGGGTGTGTTTGGGTTTTTCTATGATTCTATGCAGGTTTCCCTCAGCGTGAAGAGAAGGTTCCGTATGGGTTACTGCATAGCTGAGGTAAAGATAGGGGTTTTAATGACATGTTGGTATATAGGGCCATAAACAAAAATTTCAAGTGTGATTAGTCCATTGCTGTGGCCTATTTTTATTCCTTGATGATCTTAGAGGTCTTTTCCAACCTCAGTGATTCTATGATTCTATGATTCTATGCAGGTTTCCCTCAGCGTGAAGAGAAGGTTCCGTATGGGTTACTGCATAGCTGAGGGATAAAGATAGGTTTTAATGACATGTTGGTATATAGGGCCATAAACAAAAATTTCAAGTGTGATTAGTCCATTGCTGTGGCCTATTTTTATTCCTTTTTAAAGCTTTAATGGTTGCATCAGCGTCTATTCTTGGGAGGCGGCAGCACAGGACTGTAGTTGGGGTGGCTGCAGCACTGCTTGGCTTGGGAAGGAGCGGTGTCTAGAACAGAGCTCTGCCAGGACTCTGCTTGGCTCCAGGCAGCACCAACAGCTGCTCCTTTTTATGTATTTGAACAGTGTTTTCCTGGCAAGTAGTGAAAGAATTTGAAACTGTGCAGCAGGCTCTAATCCAAAGCTTCAGAAAACAAGGCTGGTGTTCAAGGTAGTTCTTCATGGTAGTATTCCTCATCTTCTGACTGGAGCATTGTACTACATTTTAAAGTTTAACATCTGGAGCTGCGAGCAGTGGGTCGTGGAGCACCGTGGGTAATACAGCGCTGGTTTGGCTTCAGGTCTTTGGATTGTTCTGTATTTCTATTTATAATAGCTCCGTTACATACCAGAGGGCACAGGAAGGGCGCTTTCTTTACCATGTTTAAGTTTTTATTATAACATGATTTTGTATTTAATTTAGTTAAGGCAATTTACACTTTAGTTCTTAAGTAACAATAACAAAAAAAGTAAAACATTACACCAGAGATTAAACTACAACACAGGACACCCCTTCACAGTGAACTCCTGTAAACCTGCAGTCTCCTACTACTACTGCCCAGATATTCTTGGTCCACAGAAGGCAAAAGACTAGTTTGCACTAGTATGAGCTTGGATACTCATCCTCATCTGGTGAGTTAAATTAACAAATCCATCTCCTTGAGTTTAGCTCCTGTTTACTGCACCACAGTGACGAACAGAATTCTTTAAATGGAGAGGGATCAGCATGGAGCAGGTACAGCAAATACGACGGCTGGTTTGCAAAGATCCACAGGTACTAGTGCCACTCTTGGAATAAGTTAAATATTGCAGCCCTACAGCTAGTTACACTACACCTGAGGTAGGGGCCATCAGAATGTAGCGCATGGAGATAAAGATACAACCCTCCACATTTGCAAAATAAAGAGTTATTGCAATGAGGAATAAAAGTCCTGTATGATTTATCTTCCTACAAGGGCATTAGAGTAACGTGTGGGTCCAGGTATCGTGAGGAATCCTGGCCAGTCCCTGGTTCCCGAATGGCTTACAAGCGCTCTAAGGAAAATGTTGACTCTGAAGCTCTTCCGCATGGTCCGTCTCTTTCTGACGGTGACGTCCATGCATGGAACCCAGGAATAAGCAGCCTCGTTAGCTGATACATATGTGTAGTGCCCCGGTGGGTGAAGCCGACGCTTCTTCTCCGTCTTAGTGGTTCATGGTATTCTGGACATCCACAAACCCCATCCTTTGTCTGCGCTTCCGTTGCTCTGTCATCTAGAGTTCAAACAAGGACACAAGTGAGGTAGGAAACCGGGCCGCCTTTCTATCCACTAACGTGCTCCTCCAGCGTGTGACTGACCAGGCTGCTTTAAGCATCTGCCAGAAAACCCTGCGAGGTGGACTCTAGCTGATGAGGAAGTGAAGTATCAAAAAAGCGCTTGTCCCAAGCGTCCCTAACCCCCTCAAAGAGAGCTGCGGGAGCCCTTTGCTTTGTATCTGAAGTTGTACGGGCTTGGGCTGGTTCTGGCCGCCTGTTCCTTGCAATTGGTGTCTATTTTGGTAAGGACAGCGGGTTTCTACAGTCAGGTGTTCCTGAAGCGTTTCTGTTTTAAAAAGTGTTCAGTACCTGTTCCTTCAGCTCATTCAGCTGGGAGGTGAGATGGGACACCAGCTTCATCGTGGTGTTCAGTTTGTCTTGAAGATTTCGGATCTCATTCTGTTCCCCTTCCCCCTCATTGCTGACCAGCGACATGGCTCGCATCCGGGGGAACCAGTCAAGGTTCTTATTCTGGAAAGGCGACCATAGAGAACGGGAGTTGGAGAGGGGGTGAGGAAGAGGGAAGAGACCCGATAGGATTTAACGGGAAGCCTGCCTGTGCTTAGGGATTAAAAAAATTCTCAAAGGCTCGTCTTGTCTGTTTCTTTGCAAATTTTCCAGGAATAGTCCATTTCCAGTTTTTTTTCTTAGAGCCTTCTGGGCTCAAATGCAGAAGTTTTTCTTTTCTAAGTTTCCTTTCCCTCCCTTCCTGCCTTGAAATTACCTTGAAGTCACACTCTCTACTGCTTGGTTCAATCCTTAAATACACAGTACAAAACATCAAATAGACAATGCGGTATTGGCTGAGATTGCCAAGTGGAAATAACCAGCTACGAACGAACGAAAGCACAACAACATTATTAAATATTTTCCAAAGGCTCCTTCTCAAAACTGTTTTTCTTTGGCAAGCCCCTTGTTCTCAAATATTTCCCCGGGGTGGGCAGGTTGCAATAGCGAAAGAGCTGCCCTGAGAGGACACGTACCTTTATCATCTGCGCCACGTAACTCTCTGGCCCTGTGTAGTCTGTCTTGTTCTTCACTCGCACCAGCACTATGAAGTACAAGTAGTTCCACATGTTGTGCTCGTATTTAATATGCTCCTCAAAGGACACTGTCTTGTTGTCAAACTTGTCCCTTTCGAGTCCTGGGAAAGGCAGTCAAGAACGGAGAAGGTGGAGGGAGGAGATGGGGAGGGGAGGAGAAGGTGAGAAGTGAGCGAGCAAACAAATGTGAAAGGAAGTACAGATAATTGCATCCTCTCCCAGGTGTGACTTTCAAGAAGTGCTTTTAATAATTAGTTGGCATTTAGCACAGGACAAGCATCCAAAACAGGGAAAATAACCCAGCTGTGTATTCAGGAGGCTTCTATTTAAAGCACTACCAGCTCTGCTTCCTGCCTATGTATCTAAAAGCATAAAATGCACCCAGTGGCTCTTGTGAGAAAAAACCCAGCTAGACTTACTGGGTTTTTCCCTTTTTTTGGATGCCTTCCTATGACTGAAAGCATTCGAGAACATTTTCTGTGTTTTATTTCCTTAGTAATATGGTGCTTTTTCCCCACTGGCTAAGTGATGGTCTCGGGAGTGATAGATGCACAGCACAAGAACTCCACAATGTGGCGTTTTAGTTTAACACCTCATTAACAGAAGGCGGGGAACAATACAGACAATTTCCCCTCGCAGTTTGTGTCCTTGTTTAAGCCTCCTCACGCTGCAGCGACCCATCGGTGAACAGATTTAAGTTTTGCTGTGAACCAAATGGAAACCAGAAGCCAGCTGAAACTCCTTT